GCCCTTACGGCGCCAGGACGGGAGAGCCGCCAGCCCCTCCCGCGCCTGCCGCTGCCCCCAGCAAGCAGCGAGCAGGCGCCAAGCGCAAGCAGCGAGCCGAGCAGAACACAAACCCAGCCCGCGCCTCCACCTCCAACTCACCCGCTCCCTCACCCGCGCGGGGCGTCGCATCCACCTCGAGCGCCGCGCCCTCGCCGGCAAAGCGCTCCGTCAAGGACATGGCGGATAAGCTCGCCGCCGAGCTGGAGCTGCCGGAGGGTGCAAGATCCCGGAGGTGGCCAAGGCGGCGTGTGCGGCGCTCGGCGTCGACCGCAAGGGCGACTTCGCCTACCACAGATCGCGGCGTGCCACGACATGATGTGGAACGACGGTGAGTGAGAAAAACTGTTTCCGGCTCGTCCCGCGGAGCACTTGCTGCAGGTGCGCCGGGAGCAGTGCCGCGGACGTGCGGGCCTGATATCATACGCATGAAGTGCTCCGCGACGACGGGAGCTGGGGTGGTTGTACAGCCACGCAGGGGAAGCCGCTCGAGAAGCGCATAGTACACAGCGCACAGGGGTGTACGGACAGTCGGTGTGTATAGATCTCCACGTACGGCTCCACAGCGAGTGAGAGGAGTAGCGACTAAGACGGGACTGGTGACGCGCGGCTAGCCGCGAACAGACACGGATACCGGGCGGCGGGTATCCGCCGGTAACCCAAACAAACCCGCATGATGGCATAATCCATAAAAACACCCGTCCCGCTCAAACGTCCAGGCCCGTTGCCGCGGGGCAGCACTGGCACAGGTTCCTCAGCGGGTAGACGCAGAAGAGGCAGGCGAGGAAGACGATGGGGAAGGCCCCAAAGACCACCCCTCCGCCGTACGCGGCGGCCACCCCAGCGTTCTCCGACCAATCCAGCACGGCGTAGATGTAGGGCTCGCCGCCTGCCGTTCCGCCCGCCAGGTCGTAGATCAGGCTGAAGAGGACGTAGGTTATACCGTACAGCACCGGCACCCACATCTGATTGAGCCGCATCGGCAGGCCGGCGATGAGGAAGTCGCAGAGCGCCACCACAAAATTGACGCCGTGCGTGAAGCACGAGAGCACGGACGGCGGATCGGGCGAGTTCCAGTCGTAGACGAGCGCCCAGAAGAGCACGAATACGAAAAAGGGGGCGACGTAGGTGAGGACCTGCAGGGCGTATGTGAGACGGACGTAGCACGGAGTGGTGCCGTCTGGCTCCCCGTTTCTCGACGCGATGGCCAAGCCCGACACAACGGCGGCGAGGATGAGGTAAAAGAGCTCAAACAGCAGCGTCCAATGCGTGAGGTAGATGTACCACTCCGGCGCCGTCTCCCAGTCGTTGCTCTTGTGCTCCACCATGGACCAGATTGTGATCCCAAGCCAGAAGGCTGCCAGGCTCGCCCGCACTGCCAGGAAGGCCTCGGGCGGCGCGCAGCGGGCGAGATTGCTTGGCGTGGAGTAGGCCTGCCGCCAGGAAGGGAGCGCAAAGCACCAGCCCTCCCGGCAGTTCGCGATGAAGGCCACGTCCAGTACCTTTGGCTTCTGGGTTTCCGGAGTCTTCATTCCTGCGCTCGCAGGGCGTCGCAGCGTGCGAAAGCGATTCGGCGGAATGGGACGGCCGACGCAGTGGAAGTCATAAATCTCGAATTTCTTTTTGTGATTAAATTCGTTTTTTGCAGAAAAGAAAGAAAGAAAGCGGACAACCCAAGGGAGGGGTGGAGAGCGACGTTTTGCCGATTGCAAAATTCTTTTTCAAATTAGATATCGTTAGGTACGCGCCGCGTTGTTTGCAAAGCCAGGGGGAATGCAGCACGAAGCAGCTGGCACGTCGCCTGCCGACGCGCCGCTGCTTGGGAAGCGAGTCGAGCTCGGCGGGCTCTCCTCCCGCCCCGAGCTGAACGGGCAGCGGGGCGTGGCGCAGAGCTTCGAGGGCGGCCGGTACGCTGTGGCGCTCGAGGGCGGCGGCGAGAGCATGCGGGTGCGGCCGGGTAATCTGTCGCCGGCTGCGGCGGAGCCGGTGTCAGGCGGTGCCGTGGCAGTCTGCGATAAGGTCATTGCAGCGACTGAGCGAGGCGAGGAGGCGGCGGTGCTGGCGTGGCTTGACAGTGGCGGGCGGGCCGACGCGACGTACGAGAGAGGCAAGACTAGCGGCCTTACGCTCCTCATGTGCGCCGCCGGCCAAGGCCACGAGCGGTTGATTGAGCTGCTGCTGCGGCACGGCGCTGAGGTCAACCTGCAGGACAGCGACGGCGACACCGCGCTGGTGCACGCCGCCACCAACGGCCACGAGCGGGTGGTCGAGTTGCTGCTGCAGCACGGCGCTGAGATCAACCTGCAGAGCAGCGACGGCTCCTCCGTGCTGGCCCGTTCCTCGAGCTCTCCTCTCCGATTCTCCCCGCCGATTCCCCCACCGGGAATCTCGTTGGGATTCAGCCCGCCGCCGAGCCCGCCGGGAGAATCTCGTTGGGACAGCGACAACGACGATGCCGCGCTGTCGTTCCATGGCCCGGCGGAGGCCAAATGGCCAACCATTAGCGAGAGTATCGGCGCTGCGCTGAGGTCTGCCGGCGCGCGCCTTCCCCACTTGCTCCTCCCCTCCTGCGAGCCGGGCGAATAGGATCATGTCCCCGTGCCATTCTCCGCGCGCCCCTGCCGTTGCGGAATGCGTGGAGCTTCCCCGCCTCGTCTCGTGCACACCATCCAGCTCTCTTGCTGCTCTCTTGGATGCGCCCGAGCCCCCAACCCTCGCCAACCCCAGCCTTGCGAGGCCGCATGCCGCTCCGCAGTTTTCGCTAGAGTTTTCGCCGCCGCGGTGTCGGTTTTGTATCGTCCATGTCAAAAAGTTAACTAACCGGTGATTTTGACCGAGGAAAGACTGAAACCTTTTGACTCGCGCCCTGCCTCCGTCTCCGGCTTGCCCCTCATCTCTATCATGTCTCTAAAATAATATTTGGTATTACGAAAAACTGAGTAAACTGCTGGAGTCGACACGTACTGAGAGCCGTACAGACGAACGATACACACACCGAACCGCGTCACGAAGAGGGTGCAACCGAAAGCGTATCGTGTGTCAGACCGCTCGGCGCCCCGCCCGACAGCGTCTCGCCACCAGCCTCCTCCTCCCCCGCCGCCACCGCCTCGTGCCGCGCGTCCCTGGCTGCCACCTGAGCGGGCACGGACCTCGAGGCTCGTTTTGCGACGGCGTCGACCGGCCGCCGGTACTCCTCGCGCACGCCCAGGCCGACGGCGATGAAGCAGGCGGCGGCTGTCGCCGTCATGATCTCGTTCATCGCGTCGGGCGGGAGGAGGTCGTTGCCGACGATGAGCAGCGCGCACGACGCGTTGAGCAGCAGAACGAGGATGCCTGCGCTCATCCCCTCCTTGACCGGGTAGAGCAGCTCCGCGGCCAGCTCGTAGACGAGCGGCGTGGTGAGGCCTTGGGCGAAGCCGGCGACGACAAGGCTCAGCAGCAGCCCGGCCTGCGAGCGAGGCAGCGGCGGCGCCGCCCCAGCAGGCAGCAGCGAGCAGGGCAGCTGCAGCGTGAAGGCGGCCGTGGCGAAGACACAGATGCCGAGGCCGAAGACGATGCCGAGCTTGAGACGCCGCGGGTACCGGTCCATGGCGGCGCCAGCGAGGAGAGAGGCCGCGTTGATGGCGACGCCGTTGCCGAAGCCGATCCACGCGACGGCCTGGGAGGCGAGGCCCGGGCGGGAGGGGCCGGGCCCGAGAATGCCCTGAAGGCACCCCTGCCACCCCGACTGCGCGCCTATGTGTGCGAGGTTGCCCGAGATTGCGCGAGATTGCCCTCGAGATTGCGCGAGATTAGCCCCCCGACTGCGCGCCACTCAGCACAGCGGTGGACAGGACGAGCACGATGTAAGACCGGTGCCGCAGCGCCGCCCTCAAGCCTCCGAGCCAGCCGCCTCCGCCACCGCCGCCACCTCCGCCGCCCCCGCTGCCCCCGCCTTCGCCGCCGCCTCCGCCGCCCCCGCCGCCCCCGCCGCCCCCGCTGCCCCCGCCGCTGCCGCCTCCTCCGCCGCCGCCGCCCCCGCCGCCGTCGCCACTGCCTCCGCTGCTGCTGCGGGTCGGCAGCGCCGGATGTGCCGGGGAGTGCGGCGGCGGAAGCGGGCGGGGGGTCGGTGGCGGCGGCGGCTGCGGCGGCGCAGGGGCGGGGAGGAGGGCGGTGGAGGCGGAGGAGGCGGGCTGCGCCCCCGCCCCCTCCTCCGAGGACCTATACTCGCGGGTGATCTCGGGTGATCTCGGGTGATCTCGGGTGATCTCGGGCCATCTCGGGCCATCTCGGGCCATCTCGGGCCATCTCTTTGAGTTCCCTCCCCCCCACCCCTCCTCCGAGTACCCCAGCTGTTAGCAGCTAGGAAGTGGGACGGGCTCTCCGCCTCACTCCCTCCGAGGACCTGGCGGCGGCGGCGGCGGCGGAGGGGGGCAGCGGCGGCGCGGCGGGCAGGTAGACGACCGCGCAGGCGACCGAGGCGGCGGCGAGGGCGAGAGAGAGCCTGCGCTGTGACGATGCTGGGCCTGAGTGCGCCTCCTTCAGTGCGAGAAGACGGTGTTGTGCAGTGTGTGTTCAGAGCACCGCGTGAGTACGAGGGAGGCGAACGCAGTGGAATGCGGCCGAGTACGGCGGGCACGTGTGCTCTCGAGCGCGGGTTGGGAGACACAGACACGTCTTCCGCTTCTAGGGCTCAAGCGGAGATATGAAGAGATGCGGGGGGATATGGGGAGATATTCCGCTTCTAGGGCCGCGTGCCAAAACACGTTCGGGATCGCGGCGGGAGAGGGGGCGAGCCAGAGAGGGTTGAGGAACCCGACTGTCGTGCCGAGCGCGTTGGAGGTCTGCGCGATCGCCGTGGCGGTGGTGCGCTCCCTCTGCGGGAACCTGCAACCTCACAGCCGCGGCGTGAGTCGACCTCTGCAATTGAAATATCCCAAAGCGGGCAACACGCCGTTCACAGTTGTAGCTCACAGTGGCGGCGGTGCGCTCCGGTGCATCTCGGCGCGTCTCGGCGCATCTCGGCACCAGACGACGGCGAGGCGGGTGACCGAGCCCATGAAGAAGGGCCTGTGAACAGCGTCTCTTCACACCTCTAGCTGTGAATAGGTGACCGAGCCCATGAAGAAGGGCCTGAGAAGCGGGAGGGTGCGGGGTGAGGGGAAGGGAAGCTGTGAGACGACGAGCCCATGCAGACAGGGCCCTGCGGCGGCGATGAGGATCTGGCCGGCGTGGTACATTGCAAAGGCGGCGCCTGCAGGAAGGTCCCGAGAAGGTTCCGAGAAGGCTCCGAGAAGTGTCGGATAGAGGGGAATTGAACGCCTGCAGGAAGGCTCCGAGAAGGTTCCGAGAGGGCTCCTTTGGCCCGTGTGGCGGACGCAAGGAGAAGTCAGCGCCTACAGGAAGGTTCCGAGACGGTTCCGAGACGGTTCCGAGAAGTGTCGGACGCACAGGAGTAGTGAGCGCCGCTCTCGGCGAATCGCGGCCGCGCGCCGCCACTCGCCTCGGTGACGGCGATCGGGATGCAACGCAGCACATTCCCACCCATCAGCAGGCCGAGGCCCCACCAGATGCCGCGCTGCAGCCCGCGTGGCCGCTGCAGCACCGTCGTCTGCGCGTGGAAGCAGAGGACTCCGATGATGGGCCCCCAGTTGAGGAGCTGGTCGACGGTCGACTGCGTCAGCCGGCGGCCAAAGTACTCCTCCGCATGCTCGCGAGACACGGAGGAGAAGGAGAACCTGCGGCGACGCAGGCTTCCGGCGGCTAATCAGCACGTGGCATTTTCGGGCTGCGGGTGCAAACGCAGACACGCAGTTAACGAGATCATGTGGCATCTAGGAAAAGCTGCCATGCTAGGCACTGGTTCATGTTGGCGAGCGAGTAGTAGAAGAGGACGAACCAGCGGAGCCGGCTCGCCGAGTAGGCCATGGCACAGTTTGGAAGGCGGGCCGTCAGTCGCAAAAAAAGAAAAAAACCTAGTTTAGCCAAACAAATGAAGAGGCTGTGGACAAATCGCACACACATACCTGAGACTGACTAACTACAAACACCCATACCTTACAACTCACTACAAACACTGAGCGGGGCCCCGGCCCCCCGTCAGTCACTCATTATCATGCGAGCATCTCTCTGCGGCGCCTCCTCGGCTCCAGTCAGTGCTGGCCGCGCCAGTTCTGTGTTGGAGAGGCCGCGCGCGCCTTTGGCGCTGTGATCCACTCGTTGAGGACGCTTGTGAGGACCTCTCCCTTGTGAGAGGACCTCTCGTGAGGACCTCTCAGGAGGACCTCCGTCGTGAGGACCTCTTCTTCCGAAGTACCGCCCCCTTACACCTCCAAGTTTGTTCCGCCGTCACAGCGCTTCGACTTTTGACCAACAAGGACAAATTCAATGCGTCAAGATACAAGATTGAGTTCCTTCGCCGGCGAAGGATTCATCGATTGTTAGAAAAGGAGCTGAGCTATGTCTTGGAGTGTAGATTTTTCATCATGATGTGCACGGCACCTCTGTAACGGGGAACAACTTCCTCCTCCCTCAATCTGTGTAAGTCTCAGACACCTCTGTCTCTGTGTGAAGTTGGAGGTATGCACAGGTAAGCCATAGTCCAACGTCAGTCCGTAAAAAGAAAAAAATCACCTGCTGCGGGGAAGATCCGTGCTTCTGAGCTTCTGCGCACACTGGGTGATGCTGCACACCCATACCGTACAACAACCTACAAACGACGACGAGCAATGGCGAGAGGGAACTACAGTCGGTGTGCGACCGTCGGGTGTGTCGCGCAAGTATGTTAGTATCTGAGGGCTGGGGTTCTGAGGCTCACCCATTGAGGAAGTGAGGTACTGCTCCGCCCATCCGGATCCTGCTGTGTGCTGAAGCAACAAGCTCCCCTTGTAGCTCGATCGGTCACGCCGGCATCACCGCCGACGCCTCCTAGAGAGGTGATGGAGAGGGGGGACGACACTGGTCTGCTTCAGCAGCGTGCACCTCGATCCTTGTACTGTGTTTGTTATGACCCCCCCCCCCCCCCAATGAAAACACCAGTGAGGGAGGGCGAGACGATCGAGGGGTCCCGTACCATGCGGAATCGACCCTATCCAGTGCTCTGCTTCGCACTTACCAAGCACGCCTTAGAAACAGATTGAGGTGCGCAGATGGACCCTAGAGCAGTGCACACAGAACTACTGCCATATGACTCCAGAGTGATCCATGCAGATCACATGTTTTATGGCGGCCGATCTCTGATCATGTCGGATCAGAGCAGGTATCTCTCTCCCGCCTAATGCTCGGTCGCTCACCTATGGCTATTGGTTTGCCCGTCGATCCGATTCCACATCGACGGTCGAGAGATTGAGTGCAGGCGCACCGAAAAACGTCCGCACTAGTCCTCAGGCCGAGACTCGGACAGAGGTCCTCATGGGAGGTCCTCTCAGCACGAGAGAGGCTCTCACCTCACTCTTGAAGTGGCAAGAGGAGCTATTATTTCTCGGCTCGCTGAGGCCGCGCTGGCGCTTTTTCGCACAGCGAGAGTGTGAGCTGTGTGGGCCCTCTCCGATCGTGTACACCAGGCACCAAAAAAGGTCCACATTGACAAGAGGTCCTCAGGCGGACCTGAGCTAGAGGTCCTCAGGCGAAGGTCCTCACGAAAGGTCCTCAGCACGAGTCAGAGACGGTCTCTCCTCTCTCAAGCAAGTGGCTGTCAGACTGACTGAGGCTGCTATGCGGCAACACTAGGCCGCGCTGCACGCGCGGTGGGACGCAGCGGAGGGTGACCACGAGCCTCAGCGTGACGCACACTCAAACAGACAGAGTGGACGGTTCGATGTATTCAAACGGTCGTATTTTTGTGCAGGTCCGCTCGTGCAGTTGAAGCGTGAGTGAGTGAGTGAGTGAGTGAGTGAGTGAGTGAGTACCCACACACTCACTCTAGGTCAGTTGAATTGACACTCATGGGAGGTCCTCAGCACCACAGAGAGGCTCTCACCTCTCTCTTGAAGTGGCAAGAGGAGCAACTATTTGTCGGCTCGCTGAGGCCGCTCCTGACACATACACATTTCACAGCGAGAGTGTGAGCGGTGTGGGTCGTCTACGATCGTATGCACCAGGCACCGAAAGGTCCACATTGACAAGAGGTCCTCAGGCGAAGGTCCTCACGAAATCCGCAGCACGTGAGACGGTCTCTCCTCTCTCAAGCAAGTGGCTGTGACACCCTGAGTCAGACTGACTGAGGCTGCTGTGTTGCAGGAGCGCTAGGCTCACGCGCGGTGGGACGCAGCGGAGGGTGACCAGCCTCAGCGTGACACACGCAAACAGAGTAACCCTCAAGCAATCGGGATGTGTGGACGGTAAGAGTGGGTGATTTGGGTTGCACGAATGTGTGCACGAGCGATCGAATTGATGCGGTTTCGTGGGGCTAATACTTGCCTTTCTACATATCGATGTGTGAACACACTCGGAGCGAGATACCAGCTGAGAGAAAAGCATTGTTTATCATGGATGGATGCTTCCACGCACCCATAAGAGAGAGGCACAACAAACAAGCACAGAACTACTAGTGCCATAACCCATATGACTCCATGGTGATCCATGATACTTTTGATGGCGAACGATCTCCGATCATTTCGGATCAGCCAGGCACCGCCTATTGCTCGGTCGGCTCGCTCACCTATGGCTATTGGTATTGCCCGTCGATCCGATTCCACATCGATGGTCGAGTCCAGGCACCGACAAAGGTCCGCACTAGAGGTCCTCAGGCCGAGCGAGACTCAGGCAGAGGTCCTCATGGGAGGTCCTCAGCACCAGAGAGGCTCTCGCTTCTCTCGAAGTGGCAAGAGGAGCAACTATTTGTCGGCTCGCTGAGGCCTGGCACATTTTCACTCACAGCGGGTCTTCTCCCACCGATCGTGCACCCCAGGCACTAAGAGGTCCTCAGGCGGACGGACGGAGGGAGACTGAGGTCCTCAGGCGAAGGTCCTCACGAGAGGTCCTCATCACGAGAGACGGTCTCTCCGCTCAGCAAGTGGCTGTCAGACTGACTGAGGCTGCCATACGTTATGGCAGCGCTAGGCCGCTCACGCGCGATGGTACGCAGCGGAGGGTGCCCAGCTTCAGCGTAACACACACCCAAACAGAGTAACCCTCCAACAATCGGGATGCGGACGGTAAGGTGTATGCAGAAGGGTCGTGTTTTTGTGCTTAAAGGCGATCTGGTATGTTCATGGTAAGATATTAAATCGGCGATATACTTTTTTGAGTTTGTCGGTGTTCCATACGATGGTCACGCCACATCTCGTTCGCCCGCGTCCGCGCTTGGCGTTTTGCGGGTCGCTGCTCGTGGCCGCCCCCGATGTTGCTCCTGTCTGCCCTGTGTTTGGCGTCGGCGACGGTGTCGCCCTCCCTCTCGCCGCGCAGGCAACGCTGGCGCCATACCCCTCTCAAGATCCCATCTCCCTATCACTGTAGCTCTCTCGTCCTCTGTCGTCGTTTCACATTGCCCCAGGCACCACTTTTGTGTGTGGAGACGTTTCCCTTCGCCTTACCTTACCTTACCTGCACGGGGATCTCCCCTCTCTTTGGACCGTCCCGTTTTGAGATCTCTCGGTATAACTATAAGTGGGCGCCCGCCCGCAGCCTCCACGAGGGGGTCGCGCCCCCAATACATCACATCCCGGCTGGCCTGGGGGCATCGTAATCAGCGTCGGCGCTGCATTGCAGCCCTATCCTCGAGCCTGTGTCTCGCTCGAGCCTCGTGGAGCTCGTGGAGCCGTGGTAGCAGCCCAGCACAAAATTCCAATTCACCGCGTTGCCCGCAGCGCAGTACGGCCGCCGCAAGTCGACCTCCGCCGGACTCTGGACGACGTGATACTGATACTGGCCTCGCACGAATCGGCCGTTGCACGCGTCGAGGGCTGCGGCCGTCGGTCCGAAAATCGGAAACCCATCCAGCGCGTACGCCACCAGTTGCGTCTCATTGTTGCGCCAAAATGGGTGCTGCGGGCCAACGAAATGGTAGTGCCAGAGCGGCACCTGGGAGTACGGATGCCCCGCCCACGCGCGCTCCTCGAAGAGGAAACTGTTGTGCGCTGCCCACACGGGTGAGTAGATTGGGACGCCATTGCGCGCAAAGGCAATCGGCCCAGCTGCGGGTATCTCGATGGTGCGGCTCTTGTACTCGGGCCGCGGCAGCGTCAGCTTGTACGCTGCGGCGCATGGCGACGAGCGGCCCCGCGGTATGGAGATCTCGTGGTCCGGTATTGCGTTGAAGAAGAGCACGCGACGCTGACTCGCTGAGTCGATGCACGTCTCTCGCATGTTGCGGATACCTCCCGCAGGAGTGATGGGATCAGCGCCCTGCCGGAGGCTGAGGCACCGTCCTGACGAAAGCGCGTCGACCGAGAAGGCGCGAGTGCTGCCGCAGGACGCAGGTCCCCAACGGCCTCGGCGGTATCCTCCCAGCGACGACGGGCGCGAGATGCGAGCCGGCGGCGGGAGGCGAGCCGTCGGCGGCGGCGGCGGCGGCTCCTCCTCCTCTACCCAATAGCCCATCTTGTGGCTCATCGGCAAGCATGGGCCACATGTCTCCGGAATCTCCTCAGCGACGAATTCGCATGCGTCGTGCTCACTCATGCCGCGAGCGGACTGCAACCACTGAATGCGGCCGCCGCACGTGCCCCAAACGGTGCTGCACGCACTGTCGGCTCCGTCACAGTGCGCAGCCGCAGGAACGGTCAAGGCGGCCAGAAAGAGCAACGAGCGACAATACGCTGGCATCGATCGGGCGATGCTGCAGGCACTCACTCAAAAGGAGGTGGGCTGACTTTTCTTCTTTTCGTTGTGAGTGGTGCGCCACTCCGGTCCAGTTCTTTATTCTTTCGCCTGGCTCAAACAGATCCCCTACCTCATCGGAGCCCGAACCCTGGCTGTTGAATGTACAATGTCCACTATCAGCGAGTCCAGCGGCT